AGCGGGTTTCGTGAAGGGCAAGGGTACTCGTGCACAGATTCTCAACATCAGGCAGATTGTTGAGAAAGCATATGAGTTTGATACGCCAGTGATAATGTGTTTCGTCGACTATAGCAAGGCGTTCGACTGTGTCAACTGGAGTTGTTTATGGAAGGTTCTACAAGAACTTGGGGTACCAAATCATCTCATCGCCTTACTTCGCAACTTGTATGGCTCAAGTCAGGCAGTCGTAAGAGTCGATAGAACAACCTCGAAACCTTTTAAATTTCACAAAGGAGTACGCCAAGGTTGTATTTTATCGCCCATTCTTTTCAACGCCTATGGGGAGCACATAATGAGACGGACCTGCGAGAATTGGGATGGTGGCATTACAGTTGGTGGCGTGAAAATCACCAACCTCCGATACGCCGATGATACTACTCTTCTTGCAGCGAATGAGTCGGAAATGGTTGCGCTTCTGGACCGAATGGAGCGGATAAGCAAGGAGATGGGACTTTCCATAAACAGGTCCAAAACCAAAGTCATGGTGGTGGATAGGTCTGGAAAATTGGAACTCACTGGCGCATTAGACCTAGAAATAGTGGACAATTTTAACTACCTGGGTTCCAACATTAGTAACAATGGCTCGTGCGAGAAGGAAGTGCGCCGAAGAATTGGTATGGCTAAGAGTGCCATGACTCAGCTCGGAAAAATCTGGAGAGATCGCAACATATCCGTAAAGACCAAAACCAAACTGGTACGGACTCTAGTTTTCTCGATTTTTTCGTATGGCGCTGAGACCTGGTCACTGAAATCTGCAGACCGCAGACGCATTGACGCCTTTGAGATGTGGTGCTGGAGAAAGATGCTGCGTATTCCGTGGACAGCATTTCGGACCAACGTATCAATCTTGCAAGAACTCAAAATCTCCTCGCGGCTGTCATCCGAGTGTCTTCGCAGAGTCCTTGAATACTTTGGTCACATCGCACGGAAGGATGGTAGCAATCTCGAGAGGCTCATCGTGACTGGTAAGGTAGATGGGAAAAGACCTCGGGGGCGCAGCCCAATACGTTGGTCCGACCAGATCCGCACCGCTCTTGATTCCACGTTTCACAACGCCCTCCACACCGCCAAAGACAAGAATGGATGGAGAAAAATCGTGCGTGCGAAGGTGATACAAAAGGGTGGTCACGACCCTCAGCAATGAGGAATACGACGCAAGGAGGGAGAGTTTCTGATTCATTACTAAACAGATTATTTATCAGTAAAATGACTTATATGAAATATACAAATAATTTTAGAATGATGTAAATTAAATTTGAATAACGCTATACATTTTGTATTTATTTTATTTTGCTTATGTTCAATCCAGAGGTGGGTTTAAATGTTCCCCGAATAGTATTTAGTTAATACATTATTTATAAATGACTTTTACTGCTGAACTAAATCAGCCTCATCAAATTTAGACTGAAAAAACTCCATCTAATTACTGACAGTGAGGCTTGTTGTAAATCAGGGTGATTGTTAAGCCTATTCAATCTATTTATTATTAAGTAACTGGTTTCGCTTTTTTTTAAATAGAACAGCTGTTGTAATGTAATTAAAAATTCGACTTCACAGCTCAAAGGCAGCCGTGTTTTTTCTTTTCTATTGACTCTTAATACAATATCTTGTAATTACTAAAAATATTGCAAACTCGTAACTCCAATCAAAGAAATATTATTAAAAGCTGTCATCAAGGCAGCTACGTTTTCGAAACAATTCTTAAATGATTATAGTTTCTTTTTCGTTTGTAGTTTTATTCCAACTCTCGATGGGTAATGGTTTTTTTTTGCTACATTGAATATATTTCAGTCGCGACCCACGTCATTTCCCGCTATTATCTTGTGATTCGATTCTACGTAATCATCGACCTCGAAAATAGAATATTCTCGCAAAAAATCACTATAACGACAGCAAGATGGCTTCGGGACGAAGCAAGATATCAAATTTACGAAGAGCCCTACTCTGAAGCAATATTTACGTCCTCGGGTCTATGTTTAGTCTGGACGAGAGTATAGTAATTTGTGCTGGGTCTATCCAGAATGGCTTTTATTTTGGCGATTTATGCGGGAGAGAAAGTTTAATGTAGGGTAGCACAATTATGGTAGGTGACCATTGTATGTGAGTTTTTATCGCACAGGCCACCGGGAAGGATCATACGTAACTTTTGTTCATAAGAACCCTTAGCAAGCTTCGAGGTAAAGGTTTAATTTGGTGTTTTACGAATGCGTAGCATTCAATTTCATGCGGTGGGTTATGAGCTATAATAATTAATAAATAAATATTTACTAACAATCACGCCACGTTAACTGGTCCCGTGCTAAGTTCGTAAAGAACTTGTGTTACAGGTATACCAGATAACGGAAATATTTGTAAGATTTTTATTATACACATACATATATTTAATATACATCCCATGGCGGGATTCGAACCCGCGATCCCCTTGTGTAGTGACCATGTCACTTACCACTACACCAGACGGCCGGCTAAGATAGAAAAATAATCATGACGAATTTACATTTTGAAGGGCAGATCTCAAATTTCTCCTAATTGTGATTTTTGCCATTTAAGTAAACTTCATTATCTCATTGGGCAAAACAAATAACCAGCTATAATAAATATGTCAACTTTAACATTTCTCTGCGACATTTTGTTTTTGATAAACCATATGAATTAAACCATATTAGGCAACGAAGTTCAACTTCTTTGTTCTTCTCTTCTCCACCTTATCCCACTAAGTGCAATCGGTTAGCTCAAGGAATCATTTTCATTAAAGTCACTGAATCCCATACTTTAGGTATAATTATGTTGAAGTACAAATCTTTCTCGCTGTGCATTACATTATAAAGGCCGCTAATATTTTATCTTTATTTTAGCGTTTCCACAAAAATTAAATCCATATTAATTCATTATTGAACCAAATTTAGGATGCGTCAATAATGGGAAGTATAGAGATATTTTAGTTAGTTTTTTATTGTTCCAATAGATAGATGAAAGCTCGACTTATTCCTTAGAAAGTTGTTAACCCAGCATCGACGATAGCAATGCTTGAAACTAAAAAAAAATAAGACAGAGACAAGAAATTTCAGTTATTATAAAATTATTATATAAAATGCCAAGGATAGTAGTTAATAGACTGCAAGAAAATAATAAAACTCTTTTAAGTAAAGAGCGCTATCTTCATTTAACTGTTACAATTAATTGAATTACAAAGTTACCGGCACGGTTCCCTGTTAACGCTTTAATTACAAACTTTAACACGGGATACAGTAATTACATTTCGGATATGAAAACTGGTGAAAGTAAACTCCATGAAAATTGGTGTTTACGTCTGTGTGCAAGCTCGGCTAACTCGTGTAGTTTACACGTACCCACACAAACATAAATACCATTTCTTCGTATACAAACTGTAGGAGTTTACATACTCGTTAAGAGCCCCACACCTGGTTATGTCTGTAATCGGATTAGTTTCGGGACTATTTCCGAGTTTTATGGTACGTAATGTAAATATGATTTAATAGTCGTCGTTCTGCGTAGTGTGTTTTCGGATAGACTATTATTACGAAATGGCTCTTGATTAATAATCGATGTTGCTTAAACCTTAAAAGTAGTAATGAGGATTAAAACAAAAACATGTATGCAGCTGCTTTAGAATAAAATTGAGTCTTCGACGATTTAGTCTATTTATATCTACTCATCATTATCCTGCCCTTCTCCCAGTCACCTGGAGTCGGCGCATCATGTTTTCTCCTTCCATACTCTTCTATCATATACCATTTCTTTGCTCACTCCCCTCTTACCCATATCGTCTTTCACACAATCCATCAATTTCTTCTTAGGTCTACCTCTTCCTCTATATCCTTCCACATTCATAGTTAACACTCTCTTACCAACCTCATTTTCATTTCGTCTCATCACATGTCCATACCATCCCAAACGTATATCCATATGTATATCTACTAATGGTGAAATAAAAACGGGCCGTAAGTTTACTAAAGTGTCTGCCTAATGTTTTCTATTTTACTACACTTTGAGTGTATCTACTTGTTGAGTAAATGTGCCAAAAATTCAGCACAGATGTCAGTGATTCAACGCATGAAGAATTAATATAGCGTTCCAAGAATATTTTATTTTAAGTGTGCTTATTCGTACTCGACAAGGCAGATCGCAGCTCATCTACTTTTTATGTATAAATATTATCGTATAAATATGTATGTATGAAGTATGCACATGATTTGAGTTTTATGAGAGATGCATTTATTAACTCGATTTTACTATTGCATATTAGATGACACCGCAATAAAAGAGTATAATCCAGCTAGCTAGTGTTGGAGCCAACATCCATATTCCAGTTGATATCTTAACAAAATTTGAACATAGCAGCCTTATTGATTGGACTGATGAAAATGTTTAATTTAAAAACAGAAATTGAGTGAAAGCCATGTTTGAAACTTCTAACTAGAAAATAATTTAAAACTTTTTCTTTTACTGAGTTTCGAGAGTTTGATACAGTTTGACCTTTCACGGAAAAAACAAACATTTTCCAGCTGAAATTTGTACATTAAATAAAATATGAAACCATGAAGTATTACGAAATTAAGCTTCACAATAGTTATTCAAAGTTACCCATTGATAAAGTTTCTTCTTCTCAATCGTGTCACTCTTGACAAAGTCGTCGTGATCGTCATGTAGTGTTGGAAGGGGTATACTTGATGCGTCTCACGATGTCCCGCCATCTCTCCCTGCTCGAGGCCATTCTACTGCACTCATTTAGGGGACCTCCCACTGCAGTTTTAATTTGGTCGGTCCACCGCATTGGTGGCCTCGCGCGCGGTCTTGTACCATCAACGCTTCCCTGTACAACAAGGGAAGTTTAGTGACTATTTATTTAGTATGATCCTCTAATATATATATATATTGCCTTAGATCCATCTAAGCCAACGAAAAGCACCAATCAGTGACTGTGACCATTGTTTCAGAATTACCAGAGAAGCCAAAAATATATGATGACTTGGACAAGGAAATCGTCGGTGTGGCGGGGCCCTACAGAGAAGACACGAATCTCAAACTTACCTGTGTTGTAAGTGGAGGTAAAACTGGTAGATGAATGTTAAACTGTTAATCTCAAGAACATATTTTTCCTATAACCACATATACCACATACCATGACCAAATTAATATGAAAACCATTTTTAACAAAGAACACATGAAACAACCGCATAGTTCGGAAGTAGTATTAACATCTAGTAGCAACACTGTTATTCCAACGAATTTGAGTCTTAAAATTTGTGTCTCAAGGTCGACATTCACGTTGTAGTATCTATGGGCTTCGGTAACTGCGAAAGATAACATGTGCCGTACACTCCGCTTATATCTGCTATAAAAACTAATCAAGATCATAAACCTGTGACAGCACTTCGGAGATGCTTTAAAACAAAACGGACCATTCGATTTAATTAATTAATCAGCTTATGTCAGAAGACGAGCCAGTAAATTAGATTCATTACTGTCTACCTTAAGCTTCTACTACCACCCTATTATCTATACGCAGTAGTATTCTTGTTTCAGCTTTATCATCACCTAGATTCTTACGTTTGTGTACCGCTTGTATGGTATTTTGTGGTCGTAGGAATCGATTTAGTCCAAATGTTTAAATTTTTTTTTTATTGCATAGACATCCACAGCCTAAATGCGCCACCCACCTTGAGATATAAGTTCTAAGGTCTCAAGTATAGTTACAACGGCTGCCCAATCCTTCAAACCGAAACGCATTACTGCTTCACGGCAGAAATTGGCAGGGCGGTGGTACCTACCCGCGCGGACTCTTAAGAGGTCCTACCGCCAGTAATTACGCAAATTATAATTTTGCGGGTTTCATTTTTATTACACGAATTGTTATTCCTTTACCGTGGAACTCAATCGTGAACATTTGTTGAGTACGTATTTCATTAGAAAAATTGGTACCTGCCTGGGATTCAAACACCGGTGCACCGCTCAACACGAATGCAACGGATGTCTTATCCCTTCAGATTTTATTTTTTGTAAATAATATTTCAATAGAAGTATAAATAACTAAAGTTAAGCTGTGTCCTCGGTATTATTTATGACCAATAGCAAATGTTATCACTGAACAAATGATCACGATGTTGTCTGTCTTTAAAAACAACAAGAAGCACTCGTAAAAAATCTTCAACAATAAAATTTTAATAACGTTGGTAACATTGAAATAAATGTATTGATTTTAGTAAATATATTTGTACCTTTACAATTGAAATCCGAATATCAAATCAAATTGATTCTCGTTAAACAGAATTATCTCAAACTACTATAACAAAATCTTATAACTGTCCGCAATAATTATTAATACAAAGAAAGTTCACAAACTTCTTTTGACAAATACAATAAAAGAAAGAGGCGAGTTGAATTACAACGCAAAAACGAAATTCAATAATGTATTGAAGAAAAGTAGAATATAGAAAAGAAACAAAATAACTAAGACTAGTGATCTTGTAATATCATTCGTTTTAATTTGCGAATTGATACACAGCTGATGATTAATGGGAATAAAAATTTAAACCTCAAAAAAAATCTCAAAAACAGTAACAAAGATTTTTAATTCTATGGTAGACAAAGCAAGCAATAATGAGCAAGCATTAATATTCACGTTCGACATTCTAATTCTTCGCCGGGAAGCTTTGTATTACTTAATTCCTACAAATATGTATACACATACACACACATACATATATGTATACACATATCATCGACATATGGCATTATACAAAATTAAATTAATTCTCCAATACAAGTAATAGGTTAGTTCCAAGTATCCAATCCAAATACCATCCACTAGTTTTTTAATTTTCATAAACACAAAATCGTCCAATATTCCATTACTGATTCTGATATTTGAAACTTTATGTGATTTTTTACTACAGAGGAAATCATTAGCTATGTTAAGCTAAAATAATGGCTGATTTGATTCGTTTTCAAATTCAAATTCGAACTAAGAATTTTTTTTGCCTAAATAAATCCCTGTAAACGTTAACCTATATTTTTTAAAGTACTTATTCTACCTGACAATATTCCAAGAGTTTACATTAGACTATTTTAAATCTGCAGTCACTGGCCTGATTTGTAACTTAGTTTCTTAATTACCAACGTTCTGTGTGTGTGACGTTCATTTTGAAGAAGTACAGACTGGATTCTAAAAAGAGTATTTTTCGTTGTGGTTTTGAAAAGAATCATCATTGACTCTTTCAATAATATTAAACTACTCACACCCAATTGTAGTTCCACAATAGTTTTATTTTTGATTGGGCTTAATATACTAAATAGTACATGAATTATTAAGACAATTCGTGACTTTGTACTGTTTTGAATACATACATTATTTAGTACTAGTAATTTCAGGGAAAAGGTTTTTCGTTGCCGGTCTTAGTGTTTATTGGCTAGACCGTCAAATAAGTTTAGGACCCATAGGACCTTAACCCATTACCAGAAATACACATTACTTATGAATGTCCCTACTCTTCTTGAGGCTTCCGATCTGAAATACTTTGAAACACGGGCCACTTCACCTCTCAAACTAGAACCTATGAAAAATTCACATCGGATATAGAAAAGAAATACGTTGCTTTGGATGATCAGTCGAGGTCATGACCTACTTTTGTTTCGAATATACCAGACCATATAGATAAAACAACGTAAGACCGACACACATAGTATAACATGAGCTCATCTTTATTGGTTAAGGATGTCTCAGCATGTGCATGATTAAATAGCGGATATAGCCAGATAATAAGCCTTGCAGAATTTTCACAAGTTCCATTACCGATTTTCTATTTATTTGTCCACGATAGGTAGGCCGATGCCTCGACTTCGTTGGTGGAGAGACGAAAAACTGGTGGCAACCCTAGAGCCACTAGAAGACGGAACGAGAATAAGTATGTTGGAGCTGAATATACCGAAGCTAACTAGGGATTTTTATGAAGCTGTGTACACTTGCACTGCGGATAACACCTTGCTTGTACCTCCGCTGCGGGTCAACGTACAAATTCAACTATATTGTAAGTACCCTAGATTCTTAAAGAAGCGATTTTGTATGGTATAGTTGGGCAGAGAAACTCATAGTCTATCTAGTATTAGACATGGGAATCAATTTACAAATCAATTCGCCTTGAGACTCTGGATCGAAGTTGCGTTTTTTTTGCGTATCAGCTATTTCAAATTTCCAAAAGAAATGCAGAATTTCTGGCAGACACTGGTAGGATGATGGTAACCACAAGCGTAAGCTCAAGTACGTTTAGCCACCAGTAATCACCAAATTTATACAATATTTTTATCATTATTACTATTATACGTTGTTATTATTTCATCGCGAAAGTCGTTAGTAAGCATGTGTGAAGTACGCATTTCATTAGAACAACTGGTATTTGATCTTAATCGTCAGGTAACAATAAATTCTCAAGCTTCTTCAATCAAAATGACTTAGTGACACAACTAAATATGCAACAGAAGGTATGCCTGTAATGGGCTTACTACTATGTAGTTCAATGTCCGGGCTACAGGACCAGTTTCAACTATTATCGTTAAATGTCAATTATTGATATATTAGATTTACAAATCGGAGTCGGTTACAAATTTGATCAATCAATCAACAACAAATGATGGTAGCTGTAACTGAGTTTGGGATGGGCAAACTGGCACCGAAGCTTAAGCTTTAAAATTAAATATTGATTCACTTAAATAGTATTACTTCGTCTCGTCAAACTCGTCGAATGAAATCTAGCCCATAGACATAAAACACTGAGTGTCTAGCAGGATCTTCTCAGTGGGTCATGATTCCGATTCAGTGGTAGATTTGTGGTTAATGGTAGCAAGTTTTCACAGGTTGAGCCCCATAAGCTAATCGACCTAGGATTTTATTAGTGAGTTTGATAAATAATATAATAGTGTTTCTACAGCCTTTGACCTTCAAACAACATGAAGTTTTAACTTATGTGTCAATTAACCCTGACGGTGTCCCAAAGATTATAGGTAGAAAAACTTTGAAAGTCGTAAAAGATACCCGCTGACACCATATAACATCAAAGGCATGAAATAAGAGGTTCAAGTAAATCCAATAAATCCAATTCTACTGTGTTGTTGTAGGCACCGAAAACATATACTCGATGTAAGGATAAGTGTCCTCCTCTTCCTTCAGTCGATCGCTCATTGTAAAGCATCGTGATGCGCCCGCCTGTGATGTTTTTTTGTAATTTGTAGCCACTTACGTCGGTCAGTGGGGCACAGTGAAGTGCGTGGCTCAATCTCGTATCCAGAGGCTCGGACTCTTGGTCACTCCATCTTTTTAGGCTCTGAATTTCTCTGAATTCCTCTAAATCTTTCGATTTTACCCATCACTATGAGTCTCTCCAAGTTGTCGGAGGGTTTTCTTGCTATATGACCAAAATATTGGAGCACTCTATATAAGTATATGGTGGGTAGCCTCTGGTCAACTTTTAGCTCCAACTTATACGGATGTGTTCATCAGGAAAGCTGTTTAAGGGATGCAAGAATAAGTGCACTACATTACCATATAAGTTACGCAGTTAAGACTGTGGATATTTTAATTACATACTAAATCTGAAAATGACTATTCATTTTAAAGCACCCACAATTATTAGATATGTTTAACCGCATGATACGTTGTTGTAAACGAGGTTAAACGTACAAGGGTAATTCGCCATTTTGATTACGGTACATCTCCGATATACGCTTAGACCGACTCCCGTTCAAACGTACCCCGGACGTTACAGGGATCCGATTTAAAAGTAAAATTTTACTGTGACGTATTTGAAATTGAGAAAGGGTTCGGACTAATGGAAATGTATACAATATAGAGAGGCACCTTGTCATTGCCAAATTGTAACGAGGTTACTTATTTGTGTCCTCCAATACTATTTCTTCGATCGATATAATAAATAACCGGGAACAAGTCAGATACGATCATCCAGCCCCAAATTAAGGTTTCCTAGGGTTATGGGTACCAGAGACTGATATATTATTGTGTACTTATGTAAGTTAATTTAGATAAATAGCACCCAGACAAAAAACAAATAACCCTGTTCATCACATATGACAATCGAACCCACGACCCTCGGCGCAACAGTCCGGGGCGCTTATTGCATCACTGAGTCATGAAATAAACATGAAGCTTGAAGATATCACTTTTCGAAGCTCTATGAACTCGCTCACACTATGAAGCTTGAAGAATGATATTTCATACCGGCCAGTGAAAATCAAAGGAATTAGCTTACTTGTTTTAAGGTTTGAAGAAGAAACGAGCTGTTGGAATGAACTTATACGAGAGTTCAGGAGTGGTGCAAGGTCAGAGAGCTGAATTAGCTACCGGGTGGTATGGTGGTAAAATAAGCCCATGGAAACCCATTACTTCGTTCGTTATACTATTTTTTTCATGAATTACAAGTTCATTTTTTCTTTAATGAGATTATAGTCGTGATTTAGCCGTGCGTGTGTGAACGCACTTCAAGTCTCGTGAGTGATTGTTCAATAAGTTAGCCCGAGTTCGCGTCACTATTCCGAATATCCTATTATTGTTTAGGGAAGCGGGGACGTCGTATTAGGAATGTTTCGACGTTGTTGGAATGCTTTTCTGTATGCCGTATACATTATTCAAGGCATAGCTCACGTCTTTTGTTAGTGTAAATGTTAAGTATGAAGGCTAAATAAAGGTAATTTGATTTGAAAAAAGTGAAGTTATCTATCCTAATATTATAAAGAAGAAAGATTTGTTTGTTTGTTTGTTTCGAATAGGCTCCGAAAGTACTGGACCGATTTGAAAAATTATTTTTCCATTAGAAGCCGACATTGTCTCTGATGAACATAGGCTACTTTTTTTTATTTATTTTTTATTTATTTTTTTGGTTTCATGTGTGTTTTAATGTTTCCGAAGCGAAGCGAGGGCGGGTCGCTAGTTGAATAAATAAAACAAGATTAAACATAAGTTTTATCGTTAGATTTTATTGTGCTCATCTATCTAAGTGGTTATCGCTACCCATTTACGGCAGCATTTCCAGGGACTCGGATTAGACACTGCCTACCTACCGCATTTTATGTACATAATATATATTATACTAGCGACCCGCCCTTGCTTCGCTTCGGGAACTATAATTTATTATTGATCTTATTGAATATTCTTTTATACAAATCTAGTCCTCAAAGTAACAACAAACACAATAAAAAAGACACGTAACAAACAAAAAAGCTAATCATTCCTCCTACAAATAAAAGATAGATATATGCTGTCACGGGTTTTTTGTAGAACTATTTGAGATAAACATTTCCGTTTTACATTACATACGTGTAACTTAAACGGATTTTGCGGCGCATTCAAAAATAGCTCGCAGATGGCGGATTTTTTTCCCTTCTTATCATGGTTATATTTGGGGTAATTCACACTATATTTTTATAAATCATAGTCTATGTGTAATTCTGATGTGTAAACTTCTTCTTCTTCTTCGTCGCTTTCTTCATTGCTGAAGGTCGTGTCCCTATAACTTGAATATGGCCTGTCTCGTGAGCTGTTTCCATCTCGTCCGGTCCTCAGCTTCTCGAATGGCGGTTGCGACTAGCAGCCCACATAGGGCGGTTATTTTTCACACCAACGGCTAAGTAATCGGCCGCGGGGTCTCTTTCCTTCTACTTTGCCCGTCACAATCACTTTGTCCAAGTTATCTGACTGTCGGCGTGCAGTGTAAGCTGTGTAAACTTAGTATCATATTAATTTATATCGAATTCACAGCCTAAAAAATAAGTTTCAAGCTTTTGGCTTTCAAAATGGCGCTACTTCCATACGACTTTTCGTCCCCCCTTTCAACCATTTGGAGGAAGGAGAGGAAGACCGGGGTCCTCCTCTTCTTCCAATTCCTGCCGAGAGACTATGCCTTGAGAAAGGCGCGCGAGGTACTGCACGGCGTTAGGCAAGCAAGATCTATCCCGCAAAACCGACTACCGACTAAACCTTTTTACTGGTGGTAGGACATCTTGTGAGTCCGCACGGGTAGGAACCACCACCCCGCCTATTTCTGCCGTGAAGCAGTAATGCGTTTCGGTTTTAAGGGTGGGGTAGCCATTGCGACTATACTAAGACCTTAGAACTCACTCATATCTCAAGGTGGAAGGCGGCATTTACGTTGTAAATGTCTATGGGCTCCAGTAACCACTTAACACCAGTTGGGCTGTGAGTTCGCCCACCCATCTAAGCAAGGGAAAAAAACCCCATCGAACTCCACCACTCCGGCTCCATGAAACCCACGGTACTCCAGTATACCTTGGTATAGAAAAATCCCTGGATTACACGATTTTATAATGTAACCAATTAAATTTAATTAAATTTTGCTATTTCATAGTCCGAGTGTCATCAACGGTGTAAGTAATCACTTTAGCACTTCAAAGGATGCCTTGTTAAGCTTTCGTTCTTGTCTTTCAAAAGCGCTCTCGAAACGATTCAGTTAATTAAAGTACTAAATGGTTAAACTGTTAGCAACATTACTACACTAATTTGAATTAAGTCGATTTAGTATTTTAAAAGTCGCCGTAATAGTGAAGTGACTTTTAGGAGCTTAGAGAGGCTCACCGCCCAACAAGTGTCTGAATTTATTGGTTCGAAATGGTGTTTCAGAAATAGTGCTGATCAAATATTTACTCAGTAATAAATTAATGAGTGGTTGTTGTAAATACCTACTTATTATTGATAACTGTTGAGGTTTTCAATAAAAGGAGACCAGTAGTGTTCTTAGACAATTGTATTCACGGAAAAAGGAAGGAAGGGAGCCATGACAGACATATTTAAACAAGTAACCATAGATTAATATAAATCAGTATTATAAAATTACATAAAACCATAGATTACAACAATAACAATTATTGTTATTGTTATTTTAGACTTTTTCTTACGCTTATCTCGCCCGCTACTTCGAAAAAATCAGGATCATTTAACGAAATTGGGTGAACAATATGCATATCTTATGTAAATGCTCATAAATCTGTATATAAACAGGCAGAG